ACATTTTTTTTGTGCATCTTTGTTTCATTATTGAACACATCAACTCTGTGTTTGAACATTTAATCTGGTTTTCACAACAGTCAGTAAAAAGGTTTTTGTTTTTACAACGCAGAAAAATAAATTTCATAATCGTGATTAACACCGTTACCAACTGGCTCAGGGCTGGCAACAGAAAGGGAGGCCACACACAGATATATCAGTTTAAAAAAAAGCTATTTATTTAACTGACGTGTGTGGGTGTTGCAGCAAACCAAATAAAGGAAGAGGGCTGAAGGCTTGTGCCGTAGGAAGCCGCAGAAGGGCAGTCTTTACCTTTCTCAGAGCCACACCCACCCAAAGCAGGTGACCCTCCCAGCTAATAGAGAAATGAAACAGACCCTTTCTAGCTGTCGACAATTGTCAATAAAGTTTAGTTTGAAACCTCCAGGGCAGGTAGAAGTTTGTTTGCCGCTTCTAAAAAAAGCAGTTATACCTTTGTCATGTTCATATTGGCTGTGATAGGAGGAGGAGGAAACATCCACAGCTCAACCAGCCTCTGTATTTTCCTTTTCTTTGTCACTTTGAGCAGGTATCAGCTAAAACTCGGTGGTGGTATCGACTACAAAATTGCTGCAGCATCCCATTCGCCATGATTTTCCCCAGGATATCAATGTCATGATTTATGGTTTTGTAGCGTAGGCTTCTTAGAAAATAACAAGGAAGGAAAAAATGTTATCGGAACATCTGTAGGCGCAGTGAGAATTAAAAGCAGACTTTGGGGAATCGACTGTTCAACTGTGTGAGAGCCTGACATCAGCTGATCAAAATGTCTGAGATCTCAGGAATTCACCCGAAGGTCCGACGGCTGTTGAAGCTGAAATTCGCTCCAACTCCGATGACGGGGTCAGAGACGGGCCCCAAAGTGTACAGTGGATGCTCAGGTTAATGTATGAGTTATCATCATCCACATTATATAGTTTATATAGCTTTCATCTGCAGGTAGAGTTTAGAGTTGCTTGATAAAAACAGGCCTCGAACTGAGGACCATTCATCAGTGTCAGTGCTGACGATGAAAGAAAATAACACACACTCATACGTGTGTGTGTGTGTGTCCCTGCCTGGTAAAAAAAAAAAAAAGAGAGTTAAAAATAGCCAATGACTGACTTTCACTTATTGAACTAGCTTCCTGTCTCCTCCCACTGCAGATGGTTGTCACGGCAATAAAACATCTGTGGCAAGTGTCCAATAGGCAGGCAGGCAGACAGACAGACAGACAGGTAGTGGCAGAGGCAGTGAAACAGCTTTGAGATAAGATAGAAATAGACAGATAGAGATAGTGAGAGAGTGTGATGAGAGGAACTGTGATACTGTAACTGTGGGTGTGTGCGTACATCAGGATATTAGATCACATCACAGCAGGACGAGTCTTATCAGATCCCAACATGCAAACATGAGCTGCACTGTTAATTTCCTTCCCCTCAGGTCTGCTGTGTTTTTTTTTTTTTTTTTTTTTTTTTGTGTGTGTGTGTGTGTGTGTGTGTGTGTGTGTGTGTGTGTGTGTGTGTGTGTGTGTGTGTCATCCTGTTGAGAATCAAATGTCCTCACAAGGACACAGAGATGTTCAGGGCGGTGACATTTTTGTCAGAGTCGGGGTCATTTTAAGGTCAGAGATGAATGAGCGATGAATGGATGAATTGGGAAACATTGAAAAATAATTATCAGCCGATTGTTATAGATCGACGTGTGTTAGAATAAAAATAAAATGACTTCCTTAATGTGATGTGTTTCCCAAGCTGGTCAGTGAAAGGTCGATTAAATAATGGGCTGCTATCTCCGGAGAGAAAGGGAATTTGATAGAAATATCCGTTTGTGATGACTTTATCAGTTGGACTTTTATTTGTAACCCCACTGGAAATGAGCTGTTTACCAAGTACCAAGATTAGTTTTAGATAATGCTTTAGAATAGTTCATTAGATTAGATTAGACTTCACGGTGTCTCACATAAAAACACATTCAAGTACAACACAGTATTACAGAGGACAGCTGCACATTCAGCATTCAAATATCAGATTAGATGGAACTGATATCTTCATTGTCTTTACTGCTTACACTGTCCTCATGATGGACAACATTAACAGGATGTCTGCAGGGTCTTCCAGTTTACTTATACAAACTTTAGAGGGGAAAAAGTCACCTATTACCAATATGGGGACCAATATAGTGAATCTTTGAAGTGGAATAGCACCAATATAGTATCAGTTGGGCTCTTTCATAGTGGGTTTAAAAGGTCTTGGGTACGTGCGTCTTCCAATCCCACCGATAGCGTCTCAGAAGCAGAGAGTTCTCAGTGTGTTTCCTGCCACCACTACCTGTGTACTTAGTCCTTAAAAAGGATTGTTTCTCTGCTTAAAATCTCGTCCAACCTGCCTCTGACTGATGGACTTCTGGTCCGGTGCCACAGTGTTGATGTAGCGTGAAATTCGATCTGGAGTCTGAGAATTGACTCTGTATGCTGTTTCTGTGTCTGACATCCTGCCTGTGCTATCTGCTCTGTGCTGCTTGATGCGAGTGGGGCCGTGGCTTCTGTCAGTTAAGAGCATTGTCTATAACGGGCAGAATCAGCTCAATTAGTGTCAGTATAAACCGTATTCTAACCTTAGTAAATACCACAGCCAGTATTTCATTTTGAGCCACTTTCAGTTTAGTTTGTGACCACAACCATTAAAATTCCTCCTCACCATCGAGCTTCTCGCTGTCTGCCTTTGTGGCCTGTGGTCGACGTCACCATGTTCAGTTTGCTATGAAACGTGAAACTGTGAACTCACTGTGTGCTCAGTGTGAAGAAAACAGATCGGGAACAAGCAGAGTTTAAGTTGCACAACTGTGACTCAGAGGTTTCGGATGAGTTCAGACATTTGAACAAGGCGTTTTCTCTACCATGTAATTTATCTGATATCAGTGTGTCATCGGGCGGCGGACGGTGGAAGCTTCGAGTTGTTCGCTGCGGAGTCGGTCCTCACAAATACAGTCATCTAAACATATTAAATATACAGCAACAGAACACATTTAAGGCTTTCCACCCACTCTGTTTCCTGTGCTTGTGTATTCTGCTGACTGCGTTAGGCACTGCACACACACACACACACACACACACACACACACACACACACACACACACACACACACACACACACACACACACCCCTAAACAAATTGGGTCGAGTGGGTTGCTGATTAGACTGAGGTCATTAAGCAAACACAAAAGACGCTGCTTTCCTCAGATTTCTGTTCTGTTACCTTAAGAGCTAAGACGAAGTGTTCTCTCACACACCTGAGTCAACACGCACGCGCACACCACACACACACACACACACACACACACACACACACACACACACCAATGAACACACACTCTCCCACAGTTGCTCACACTTGACACGATTTACTTGAATCCATTAAAGCTGAATTTACATAATACTGTCTCTGCTTAACTGCATCTGCACACACACACACACACACACACACACACACACACACACACACACACACACAGGCATGTATACTGCAGCGTGGATGACCTTGCAGCAGCGACAGAGCAGAACTGCAACCTGTATGGAGTGTGTGAGGGTGTGTGTGTTTTGTGCTCATCCCTTCTGCCAGAACACACATTATAGTCGTAATTAAGACACTCTTGTCTCCATATGTGCTGGTTTGAGATCAGCTGTCAGGTGCCAGCTGGCTGCGATATTTACGGTCGGAGACGCTAACAAATGCTGCTCTCGGACCAGCTGAAGGCTCAAACACAAAATAACTAAATTGTTTGTTATTTACTGTTCATCTGTTAACGTTGATGTCGACAAAGTGTCAGCTTCAGGTTGGAGTTTCCTCTTTTGAATGAGTAATGGTTGGTATTGTTTCACAGCCTTTTTGCTGTTGAATTATGAATGAACATGCTGGAGAAACTGTCGTGTTGTTGAGGCAAACCACTGCTCTGTGTTGGACCAGATGCCATCATGTTATTTGTGGAGACCTGCAGAGAAGAATCATTTAATACTGCAAACAGAAACTGTAACAGAGTGCTTAAACAGGCACACGTCAGACACAACAGATTGTAGTAATGACTAAAATGGTGTAGGCAGAAAATGATTACGCCTACCTGACGCACAATGCAATATTTGTTAACAAGCTAACAAATAACAATGGATATTTATGGCTGCAGCAAACATAAAGGCTCATACTTACTCATAGATGGTTGTAGATTTGGTGCACATAGATATTAAAACAAAAATTTGCTAAAATGGAATAAAAAAAGATAAACATATCAAATGTAACTTAATTGCAAAGTAAATGGCTAAACTATCACAAGAGAACTGGGAGATGGAAAGACTTTAATACTACGATTGTGAAATAAAACAATATCTACTATATTAATTTGAAAAAGAAAATTGGAGCTGGTTTGCTGCCTCTGTCTTTGCCTTCTCATTTAATAACTTTCTTCTTTTCTCTGCTGTATTCTTTACCTTTCATGCATGATTAAAAGCTTATTATTTGTAGCTATGAAGCTCATTCTTTACTCTACATGGATTGTGATGTTGATGTGTGGGTGGCCGCCACTATCTTGGTCTTGAATCTGTTTCTCTCATTTGGACTCATCTTAGTCCTGGTTCTCGGTCTCGTCTAAAACTCGATAGAGGTGGTCTTGACTACTGCGCTGTGCACCGGAAACCAGAAATGATCCAGACTTTATTGAGAAAAGGCCCAAATTATTCATGAAACAGTGAGTTTCAGAGGCTGTTAATCCCTAGAAAGAGAAACTTCTGAGATGTTTCTGGAATATATGGCATGAAAGCCAAAATGAAATCTCAGAATGTGGTTACAGAAAACCACATAAGCTGAAACCAATTACACATCCTGTTGGCCCATGTGTTTAAATTCAACACTTTAACACACTTTAAATTCAATTCCACATGAATGAAGTCTATCAGAGCTGTTACTGAACTGAATGTCGTTTGTGTTTGCAGGTCTGACGACAGAAGGCCTGTATCGCGTCAGCGGGAACAAGACGGACCAGGACAACATCCAGAAACAGTTTGATCAAGGTAAACTAATCAAACCCACACTTGCACACATAAATACATATTCAGCTACCTAGAAACCCGAAGAAGGAGCACATGTGTCCCTGGACTTTCAAAGCACAGAGGCCGGTGGTTCTCCTTATTTTCACAGGCCGTGATTCTAAGTTATTTTCCCATGAACGTTTGAAGAACTCAGGAGTTCCTCGGAAAACATGTTACTAATCGAGTGGCGTTTGTGTGATGCGTGCAATAAATTTAACCCACAGAGAAAACCGATTCCAAATCTCACCACGCAGCAGAAGTGCTTAAAGAGAAACACATGCCCTGCAGAGCCGAGTGGAACCTGCACACGAGCGCTGGTGAGCAGCCAAACCGGCTGTTAGTGTAAATAAAGTCGCCACAGGCAGAAATCACCCGCACACGCTCAGCAGTGTCGCTCATTTTACAGCCAGGTGGTGACTGTGGACTGAGACGAGCTGGTCAGTCTAATGTTAATCAGTTTGTGGCAACACTGTTCAAATAAATAGGGCATCTCAGAAGTCATTACATAATAATGGCTAATTATTATTAATAATGAGAAATACACCAAAAAAACAAATGACACACCCTCAGTCTCAGTGTCAGTCATACTGGAACATGCAGACGTCATACACAAGCAGGAGTTAAACATATTAATCCATAAATTATATATTATAAATTATATTAAGCCCCTTAAATCATCTGATCTTGCCTAATCATCATGTTTAGATGTTCTTTAGTATCAGAGGGAATCCAGTGATACTCGGACAGTATTTTGCTAGTGATAATGTTACCGAGCAATCAAGCTAATGTATGAAAAGCAACGTTCGAACAGCAAAGCCACTCGGATCAGTCGTGCAAGTCTGGATGAATTCTTTCAAGACTGTATTTTAGTTAGCTAGCAATATATCTGCGTTAGTTAAAACGCTAGAAACACAATATCACATTCTATTTTACATGCTTTGCAGTAATGTTTTGAGGTTGTGTTGTGGCGGGTGCTGGTCGTTCGTTGATGTTGACTCCACACTAATGTTAACTAGTGTTGCACACTGTAACTCAACACTGGTACTCAAAGAGTGTGCAGAAATGTCACATGCTGTAGATTTTCCCAGCAAACTTGTCCCGAATCCTTTTAGACAGAAATCAGAAAAGTCCCAGGTTCCAGTTTTTAAGTTACGTTACATATTGGTAATATAAGGCGATTAATGCATGCAAAATGCTTTACATTCAATCTTCTGGTGTCTTTTTCTTCTTCCTGTGGATCTTTAAGTGTTGACAACTAAATGTCACCTAATGTCAGTTCTTTAATAAGAAAACAAAGTCAAACGCTGCTGTAACTGTGAGAGATTAGAGTTGCTGTGGTTTAGGTTGTGCACCGTGTCAACCTGCTGTTCCCGGACATCTTAAATAAACTCTGTGTTACTCCCTGTAGGCCTCCCCCTCATGACTTGCCGTAGGCGACTTTGTCAGGTTGTATATTTCTGTTTAGACTCTGTACAGTTATCCCACCGCCCTCCTTCCTCAGCTGCAGCTCGTGTGTGAAAAGCACCATTACAGCCAATTAGCTCCTCTGTCAGTAGGAGGGGATGGTGGGCTGCCAGCTACCGGCTACTTCCACTAAATAAGCTGGATGCATTTTTATGGAAATAGTTGAAGATTTACATGAATCTGCTCGGGGAGTTACGCTGTTTTTCCTCTGGGATTCAGAGGTTGCTGCGGTTTTGCTTCGTTTACAGTTTTGGGCTGAAGCAGCATTTGTTGGTTGTTTACACTCCATTAAACAACACCTCCTCTTTGATTGTCTCCTCCTCCTCCTTTTTACTTCCCTCGTTCCTCTAATATCCTCATTTTGTCTCCATGCTCCTCCGTCCTTCTGTCCTCTTTTTATTTCTGCATTTCCTGTTGTTTATATCTCTCTCCTCACTGCCTCCCCTCCTCTTTATTTCCTTGAGAGTATTTCTGGTGTGTGTGTGTGTGTGTGTGTGTGTGTGTGTGTGTGTGTGTGTGTGTGTGTGTGTGTGTGTGTGTGTGTGTGTGTGTGTGTGTGTGTGTGTGTGTTGGCAGTCTTTCAGATGCAGCGTGACAGCTGTCGTGTTACCTCAGGGCTCTGTCCTCTTTCTCTTTCCCCTCTCTCCTCCCTCTTTCTCCTCCTTCCCGTCGTCATTTGGCCGTCAGCATGTCAAAACAGGAAGTGATATATATTTATTTTTCAGCCCGTATCTCTGGTAACTGACGGGTGATTTTTTTTTTCTGAGCCGTCCTTGTGCAGTATTTTTCCTGGAGGTTAATGAGAAAGCTGACACCAGTTTGATCTCCAGCTCCAGACTTAGGAGATGACCTGACCTGCTCGCTTTGAAAACTTTTCCAAACAGAAAAGTCAAGTCAAACTTGAGCGATGGTTCTGGAGCTTCCCTCCTCTCTCTGCAGGAACAACAGAGCAGAAAAATGGATGTTTGAACTGGACGTGTATTCTGCCGGAGCCCTGCTGCTCCATCAGAGAAACACTCAGGCCTCTGTGCCTGCAGACAGGCTGATGATAACCTCTGTTAGCTGTGATCAGAGAGGAGCTCTGTTCTGCTGCTCAGACACAAAGCTCAGCTGTGAGCCTCGCTGCTGCAACACAAATACTCACAAGCTCCTTTGATATCCTTTCAGACTGAAGCGTTGACCCGGGAAAAGTCCCATATCTGAATGAATCAACGTGGGTTATCAAACGCAGCTCTGAGACTCTGCTGCTCAAGTTTAACTTGATCCTAAAGGGCTTTCCTATAGAGAGGGGAACACTGGGTCGTCTGCCTTTCGACTGTCAGTGATTATTGGACAATTGTTATTGAAATGTATTTATTATTGAATAATTAAAACGTTTATTGTTAAGATAAATTATATAGAGTTGATGTCTTTGTCAGCGGTTCCCAAAGTGGGTTCAGTTGTGGTGCTTTGAGGAGGGCCCAAGAGTGTGCCATGATGAGCACAAGGGTTGTGCTGTTTGATGTTCATATCGACCCCAAAACTAAAAGAGCCAGTCTAATTGCTGAAGCCAGAGCCCTGTTTAAGTTTATTTATTTATAAGCCATTGGAACAAAATGTATTTGTGACAAGTTCTCCTCCCTCTTTTGTATTTTCTCCGTGTTGGTACCTTTGAGCCTGATGAGGTAGAATAAATGTTCCATTGCAAGTTAAACAGTGTGCAGGACTTTATCTTTGCAACGTTTTCATCTACTCATCCCACTCCTACGCACCTGTCTCATGAAAGAGATGTGCAGGACTTTCTTCCGTCTGTTCTGACCTTCCAACGTCTGACATCAGACTCCTCCAGTACCAGCTGTCACTCGGCTCTGTCTAAAGTTGTGTTTTGGGATGGACACGTCTCACTAGGCTGAAAGAAAGTCCACTTTTTGATTTAGTTTAATTAATCAGTGGGGACGTGGTTTGGTTTGATATAAAGTAAAACGTTTTTTCCTCTGACAAAAGCTTTGTGTTGTCAGCTGAGTTAACCCCATGGAAAGCTCCAGTTCTGAAAATATTAAACACTCTTTTTCAGATAAACACTTTGTTATTAATCATCAGACTGAGCCGGTCCACAGTGGCTGTGTAGGCTGGTTAGTTTCAGTATTTTGAAAAGTTTCTGTTGGATTTTGATGATTTTTTTATTAAATTACTGTCAGCATGAGTTTAATCCATCCGCCCATTTCAGCATGTAGAGCACCAAACTCTTTGTTTGGGGAATATCGCTTCTTAAATTTGATTTAATGTATGAAAATGTATTAAAAAAATTAGGATTTGCTCAATATGAAGTGAATAGTTAGAGTAATATTTATGTTTAGTGGTGTTGTTCTGTGTGCTCATATTTTGTAGGAAATGTCTATCCCCATGTTATTTATTCAGTTTGAGAAAGGGTGGCAGAGTTCTTCTTGTTCTCGCTCCTTTTTCTTTCACATAATCCAGATAACTTGGAATGGAAATACAGTAAAATACCGTATTTACACTGTTAAAGCTTTGTTTCAAGGATCTGTTATTATGTCATTTGGTACTAATTATAGGAATAATATAGGAATTTAGGAATTTCCTTGAAAGAAAAGCTCCATTTCTCCTGCTAGCAAGAACAATAAATAGAGCAAAAGAAAGTCATTACCATGTGTTTGTGCATGTTGAGTGTTAAAGTGGAGGATTGTGGGAACATGAAGTCCTGTAGAGAGATTTCTGAGCACTGTGAGTTTGATCATATCATCCCGAAGCCCTGCCTGGGTGGAGCCGTTTTCCTGTTTGCTCTGTTTGTGATGCAGAGGATGAAACAAACTAGAGCTGAAGCTGCAGCGAAACAACAGATATGAAAACATGAAATATGTGTCTGGAGTCTGTGAAGCTGCTACCGCCGGTTGAAAATCAAACTCTCTCTCTCTCCCTTTGTAGATCACAGCATCGACTTTGTGGTGATGGACGTGGCGGTGAACGCTGCTGCCGGAGCGCTGAAGGCTTTCTTTGCCGACCTGCCCGACCCTCTGATCCCCTACAGTCTGCACCCGGAGCTGGTGGAGGCCGCAAGTAAGAATACACAGAAACACCTGAGATACCCGATACCTGCTGGGCCCAGGAGAAACACACTTTTTTTTAAAATTTCATTAGACCTTTTTAAGTTCTTAGAAGTAATTTATTCTGAAACATGCAGGCATATACACACAATAGCTGGGAGCTACAGATAAACACACACACACTTTTAACCTCTCGACTGTTGTAGCTGTTGTCTTCAATGCTGCAGGAGTCTTGTTAAGTTTGCACACACACAGCTTTCTGTCACATCACACACTCTTAAGCTCCAGGATGCTGTCAGACATCTACTCTCTGCTCTGTGTCTGTGTGTCTGTCTGTGTGTCTGTCTGTGTGTCTGTCTGTGTGTCTGTCTGTGTGTCTGTCTGTGTGTCTGTCTGTCTGTGTGTGTGTGTGTGTGTGTGTGTGTGTGTGTGTGTGAGTGAATATTAGTGATGCTGAGTGCTGAAACCACCGGGCTGATGACAGCAGATTAATGAGCCAAATATATACGCACGCTTACACAACAAGAAATGTAGGAAGACCTCATACGTGAGCGCACACACACTTTAATGAGTGTCTTATAATAAGTGAGTGAGAGAGAGAGAGAGAGACGTGGTGCTGGTTCTTCTCTTGAAAAAGAATCACATATAGCAGGAACTCTTCTTTTTTTCATCTGGCTTTCAATTTCTGCCTCTTCATCTCTCTTCCTCTCACCACATCCCCTCCTTTCTCTCTCTCTCTCTCTCTCTCTCTCTCTCTCTCTCTCTCTCTCTCTCTTTCTCCCCTGTGATTTCCCCTCTAATCACAAGACTACAGAGGGGCTACAGTGACAGTTTGACCTTTGACCCCCTCGCTGTTTTCATGCAGCAGTAAACTAGGAAATGAGGATTCTGACTTTGCTCCACAGACTAATGTTAATATGTCGATTTGACCTGTTTACAACTCAGGATCTACTGTCTTAGTTTTGGCTTCTGTTAATAAATATGATTCCATTTTTCTATTAGGACACATAACTTAACATAACACAGGTTTAAATTAGGGAGGCACAGGTACACTTCCACTGGTAACGCTCTTTAATTTCTCCGTAAGTTTCTGCTACTATTTGTGTAATTTAGTCGTACATATGGGAATAATATAGGAATGTATGAAGCTGTAGGCAAAGCTCCATTTCTCCTGCCAGCAAGAACAATAAATAGAGCAAAAGAAAGTCAAAGCCATGTGTTTGTGCACGTTGGAGCAGAGTGGAGGATTATGGGTACATGAGGTCCTTTTAAAGAGAGTTTAGAGCGCCGTGAGTTTGATCGTATTATCGTATTATCCTGAAGCTCTGCCGGGGTGGAGCCGTCTTCCTGTTTGTGATGCAGAGGATGACACGAACGGCGAAACAACAGATACGAATCATTAAAAATAACCTTGTGAATCTGCTGCAGATGGTGGGAAACAGAACTATTTGTAATGTAAGCCGGTGGTTCAGGAGCGCCGCTCGGACCACGGGGATAAATCTGTGTGGGTGCGAGATTGATACTCATTTTCCTTCTTCGGTGTTCTGTTATCTTTCCGTTATGTTCAATGCAAACACTCTGGTTGAGCTGCAGTCGGTCACAGAGGGTTGTGGGTTCGCAGTATTATACAAACAGTTTAAAATGACATTGAGACTGTGCAGAGCTACTTCCTGGCTCAGCTTTGACCTACCTTAGTTACTGTAGTGTGATGGATGAGTTTAATGGGTTGTTTTGGATGAATAGGTGTGAATGATAGTTGTTGTTTTGTTGTTGGACAGAATAAAGAGATGAATGTGTTGGTAAAGTGTAATGTTGAACAGTTTGAACTCATTCATTCATTCAGTCATTCATTCAGTCATTCACACGTTCATTCAGTTTCTATTGAAGCTTTTTCTATTTTTACTTTCAGTTATTTTTCTTTTATCTATATTTTATGTTTGTGCAGCGGCAGCCTCTTTTCCTGCCGCAGAGGTCATTAAATTTTCATCTAAACTCATCCTTTGTAGTTTATCACTTCATTGAACCCTTTGCATTGTGGGTACACGGAGAAACTGTGGTTTTTTGTTTTCCCTTCAGACTAAACTAACCTGTTTATCTCTGTTATATTTCTAGTTAATGTGGCGATACGGCGGCATTGATTAACAACCTTTGACCTCTTCCAGCCATCAGAGGGTCAAAGGCTCCCGTTGGCTCCTCGTTAAGATGATTGATTGCATGCGGGGATGAATAAATCTGAGCGCCGTCACATGTGCGGCTGTAAATTTTATTCTAAAAATATAAAAGGCTTCCCGCTGCTGCTGGAATGTCTGGAATATCCTGGAGAGAATTCCACGCAGGCGAGGGAGGCGAGGGAGGCGAGGGAGAGGGAGGTCAGGAGGTTAAAGTACCTGTGTTGTGACAATGCAAAGGTAGACGCTCGTATTTCACATCTGCTCTTTCAATATTTAATAACTGAGCGCAGCGTTTCAGCTCCAACGAGCTTTTCGCCGGAGGGAAAGCGATGGGAATCTCTCGGGAGGACGAGGAATATCGAGGAACTTCACAGACGGTTTACTTCCTCAGGAAGACGGCAGGATGTGTTTTCAGTTGTTTGTTTGTTTTTGTTTTTGTTTTGCTGCCACTATGTATTCATGTCTACCAGCTTCAACTGTCAGGACCGCAGCCTCAGTACCGTTTCTCTTATTTCTCTCAAACTAAATATTCCCAGTTTTCACTCCCTGACTTTTTGAGCATTTTATTCTGATCACTAATCATGTTGCAATTGTATTTTCTTATTTTTTCCACTAAAATCATGTTTTACACAGTCCAGAAATCAGATAAATCAGATGAGATACGAGAGAGGCACAATTTGTTTCACAGGATTCACATTCAGTTCGTCAATATGAAAGGAATCTGACAATTCTGTGAATTATTTTACTACCTTTTTAACCTATGTATTTTATTTGAGTACCATGCAAAGCGCTGTGTAAATAAATACAATGTATTTATAAAGTAAAAACACCCTATATTTGCTTATTACTATCTCAGTTTAATTATCACTGAAAAAGAAATATATTCTCATTATGAAATAAGTAATCTGAAGACATGAATTTGTGTCCTGGGAGCTCGTATTGTGCGTTTTGTGATTAAAACAGTAATGAGCTGTTCAAAAAGCACCAATAGATAATAAATTAAGCCAACCATTGCACCCTTGACGGCCCTAAAACTTAACAGATTCAACACACCTGGAAGGAAGAACTGTTCACTTTAGCCAAACAAAAAACAAAGTCAGATCTGAGAACTAAGCCTTTACTTGTAACTCTCAACAGCTCCCTGATTTCCTTATAAAAAGTGTGCTGTGGATCATAAAAGATGTTCTGCTTCTCAACCTCATAAATTATTCTCTCGTCATTTCTGGCAGAAAGCCCTGAAGGTACGTTCTCCCACGTGCATAGCCAGACTTACCTCCATTCACTAGAGCAACCTGATTTTACCTGACACGACCTGCCGGGTTTGAGCCCAGAACTTCGGGCTCGGACAGAATTAGATTTTCAAACATGTATATATTTATTTTTATATATAATTAATGAGTGAATTTGTTGGAGATTCCAGTCGGGTTGGGTCTCGACTTTCTCTCGAAACACAACTCATTTTAGGAGTTTGGAGATGGAGAAAGTGTCCTAACCTCAAAAATAGAACCAGAGCGAACATATTTTCACACAAGCTCAGCCTGTCCAGCAGGTTGGGACTTCTTCATCAGGGAAAGGTTTGGAAGTGACGTAGCCTCTAACGGGTATGGTTGAACATCAAACCCCCAGATTGAAAATCCAGTTTCCCGTCTTGGAAACTAAAAGGACTGCACTGAACTGAACCGGCAGGAAAAAAACCCATAAAAAGATCAATATTATCGGGGTAGAAGCTCAGCAGAGGAGTTATGTGTGTTATTTCCAGTCTGTTCGGCTCTGAGGCTTCATCATACAGCTTCTACACAAATGTGTTTATTTTGTTAGTCGGCAAAAAATGACCTGTTTCACACACTCTTAAGCTCCAGGATGCTGTCAGACATCTACTCTCTGCTCTGTGGCTGTGTGTGTGTCTGTGTCTGTGTCTGTGTCTGTGTGTGTGTGTGTGTGTGTGTGTGTGTGTGTGTGTGTGTGTGTGTGTGTGTGTGTGTGTGTGTGTGTGTGTGTGTGTGTGTGTGTGTGTGTGTCTGTGTACCGTGGGAGTTGCTCCTGGCAGCATCTCATCCTTTTGTTTTCCACAGAGTATAATTTCCGTTCCCAGGAGACAGTGTGTGTAAAATGTAAAACACCTTCTGTCTTCTCTCCCCGTGTGTGTGTGTGTGTCAGAAATCGTGGACTACATGGAGCGTCTGCAGGTCTTGCGGGAGATTGTGAAGAAGTTTCCTTCTGTCAACTACCAGGTCTTCAAATACATCATCACACACCTCAACAGGTAAGAGACACACACTCCAACTCAGGTACACATTCCACACACACACTTCACACACACTGATAAACACACATAATGACTGTGCAGTGTGTGTTGGAGTTAAATCCTCAGGATGAAGCTCCGGCAGCAGCTAAATGCCACAACGTTCAAATGTACGTATACCCATGGTGACAGTGAACACATCGCAGCAGGTCGCTTCATTTAGACTTAAAACTGTCGTCTGACACGTCGCAGCATGTGAACGAGGCAGTTCTGACAAAAAGCCGACACGTTGTGAGCATCGGCAGCTCAACTGTGCCTTTATTTTTTTGTAAACCTGCAGAAGATCAAATATACTGACAGACAATATAAGCAGGGAGAACATTTACAGTGAGCTTAAGTTGCTCTAAAACATCCAGCAGACTAATTACAGCGCTGGGTGTTTAACCAGTGCAGGAAACAGTTCTGTTTTTATTTTTTTCCTTTGTTTTGTTGTTGATTCTGTCCCGTCCAGAGTGATTACTTCTTAAATTGACCATCTAGTTATAGTTTAAACCTAAAGAACCAGTGACAAGTGGAGACTGTTGTATCGATCCTCTCATTCAGCCTCATGCAGGAACATTTTCCTACTCTTATCCTAAAGAGTTCTCTCTTTTTTTGGTTAGGTTTGTCTTGTTAAGTCAAGTTTATTTATAGAGCAACAGGGCTGTGGGTTACAACTGGACCCAGGTCACTGCGGAGAGGACTCAACCTTTCTTTACCAGAGGCGAAAAACAAGATGTTGACCCAGCAGAGCTTCAAGTTCTGCAGACATAAAAAGAACGTTCTGTCAGTAGTCGTATTAAAGGACCTGAAACAATAAATTAATATCAATAATACAGCTGCTAATGACGTGTCCTCAGCCTCAGAGCTGTACTGTTACAGATATGAAGAGTCGCTGTAAATTTAACTTTGTAAAGCAAAACAGTCCACAGCTAATATGCGGTCAAGAAGACGTCGACATTCACCAGACAGTGGTTGATGTGTATATTTAATGTCACTGTTATCCTGGAGAAAATCGTTGTGATTCACGATATCAAAAACATACTGGAATCACCTTACTATACAGTTAGTAGAGAAACATTTCTTTTTTATTGCAGCACAGATAGTAACCCCATCTCCTTTGGTTTGAAATCCATAGTTTTTCCAGGTTTAAGCCTTCAGCCAAGGGGACAGGCTTAGGATTTTGGAAAGCTACTTGCTGCTAACTGTAACAATTCAAAAATAAATCAGGAAATCAAGACTGTACGGAAGCGAGCAAGACAGCTTTTTAATATGTTATATTGTCCTAATTATCCTAATAATGCAGATTCACCGCGATATACTCATCTTATATTTCAATGATGTTCACTGTAGACGAGAGAATATTACAGCGATGATGTGTAAGGGATGTGATGCTGTTGGTGTTGATACTGGACACAAACCTGCAGAAAGACCCTGAGAGAAAGTGCTGAAGCTGCTGAAAGAGGCCAATAAAAAGTCAAACGAGTGAGTTCTTTCCCCGTTGAGAAAGTCCGATAATCTGTACTTGACTCGTACGACAGGTCCTGGATCTGTTTGTACCTGACAGAAATGTCCAAATACAAGAAAAAATCAATGAATGCCACAAATTCTCTGTGCTGAATCTCCTCCTACGAGTTGTAGCTGAGTGTTTCCCAGCTGCGGTTCTGCTGATCCGACTGTGGTTTGTATTTTCTGAACTGATGAAATAATGAGATCTGGGACGGAGCCCGATGACGCAGCAACAGTCCTGTCTCTCTCTTCATCCTGTTCTACACAGCAGCCAACAAGCTGGACGATGTTCAGTGACAGCTGCCGTTAATCTAATTAGCTTTGTGAGAATTTGATGAACCACCACCCTAATCGTGATGTCACACTTCATCAGTTATTGATTTAAAACATCAGCGAGCTGCCGGTCGGCGTCCTGTAAGACAAGACGACATCAGCACCTTTCCTTAGCTGCAGCTCCGTCTTCACAACAGCTGAAAAATTGTGTTTACTTGCGAGAACATCATTTCAGTTTTATGTGTTAATTTTAGTGATAAATCTAGTTTGTCCACACCCTGAGGCTGTTCACTGAGCCAGGAGACGATTAATGAAGGCTGACAGTGCTTATAGTCTTATTTTTAATACACTGCATCTTGATAAGGCTGGCTGATAATTCAGTACTTGTGATTATAGGTTTTTATCATGTTATTGCTCTACAAATCTCTGTTTCTGACCAAAAGCATAAAGAAAACTTTAATTGAAGTGAAACAGTTTTTGTGTGAAGAGTTTGAGCTCCTGTGATGTGAAATAGTTGTTTTGTAGGTGGAGTAAATACAATGATTCTGTATATGCTGATGAATGAATTAATGTCATCATGGTTTTACCCATAATTCGGACAATGACAGTACATACACAGGGCTCCAGACTAACTTTTTGCATTGGTTGCACTGGTGCGCCCAACATTTTTTTTTTTACGTGCACCAGCACAAAATGTAGGTGCACCCAAATTTTTCATTGCGTCGCCTTTAACGTCATAAGGTCACCTTTTTATCGCTCTCCATAACTTTCATATAATGTGAATGATTTTTAAACAAGAATAAGGTGTACAGAAATGCTTGTCTTTATTTGAAGCACAATTATGTGCTATATATTAAGTGTTTAAAGTGCTTCACTGAGCTGAAATTGAACATTTCAAACTAAAACATTAAGCAAAATAAAACATTTCCAAATGCAGCTGGGAGAGGGGCCACTTTCTCTACACAATTGTCACGGTATATCGTGTGTTTTTTAGACATGTTATGTTTTTTTAAAGTTTCAATAGGAAATGATGTTGACCCGCTCACGAATGCACTATTTCCGGCCATATTCTGACCGCACTCCTGACAGTACACGCAGTGCATTGCGTTACGTCCTTTGTTGTACCTCAGCCAGGGAAATTGTTTCAGCCAGTCCTGTCTGAAGGAATATATTTTGGCCTTTTTAATTTGGGTCTCGGAGCCGGGCTCTATCTGGTTCCGAGTCTGATGCTGTCGCCGAAGGACCGGGGCTTGGCATCTCACCAGGGACGAGAGCTCCGTGTCTTGACGGGATGAACTCTCAGTAGTGGGGATGGATGGGATTATAGTAGTAGGGCTGGTTGTAGGCTTGGTTTTCTTAATGAAAAAACTTCTCTTCATTTTCCCTCGTTTTGTCGTGTTTATTTTATTTTTCCGTTTCAGTTAGTCAGCTATTATGGCGCTCAGGTTGCGCGCAATTTTTAAACACACACAACTTAGCGCGGTGAACAGGACCACAGCCAATCAGAGGCAAAGACCCGCCCGAGAGCCCTGATACAGTATGTCTGCATATTTAACTGTGTACAGTGAATGAGCAGAGGAAGACCTCGATATGACAATAAACGTATAAAATACAGCTTCCATACCAAACAGTTCACCTGTTAAACAACAACTCTACACAACCAATGCAGATTTTCCTTCATATCCTTGGTTTTTGCCAGTATGGACGTAAAATAGATCTTAAATTGGATTCATAATAGTCTCCAAAAGTCCCAAATCCAACCTGCAGAAACCTAACCCTAACCCTGTAAAAAGAGGTGTTTGAGCACATGTACAAAGAATATAAGGGCACATATATTAGGAGAGTATATGTTAGTAGTGTTACTGATCACAATTAAAGGCAGATTTTGTAATTTTTTAACCATTTCTCTGCGTCTCCTTCCTTCAGGGTGAGTCAGCACAGTAAGACCACCCTGATGACGGCCGACAACCTGTCCATCTGCTTCTGGCCCACGCTGATGCGGCCCGACTTCGAGAACAAGGACACGCTGTCCACCACCAAGCTGAACCAGGCCGTCATCGAGTCCTTCATCGTGCAGAGTGACTACTTCTTCCACGGTGGCGAGGTGGCCGAGAGCTCCAGCAGCGAGGGCACGCCGCCGCCGCACTGCCACAACATGGTGGAGGCTCTGCTCCCGCTGCAGCTGCCCCCGCCCCTGCAGCCGCAGCAGATCCAGCACACCCTGCACCCCGACCCGCTCATCTAAGAGCCACAGGAGCATGCTGGGAAATGAAGCCTGGTGTCGATTGAGCCCCTCTCGACCAGCAATCGCCCGGAGGTCGTCTTTCTGCTCTACAAAACGCCGGTCGGCGGTTCAAATAAAACATAAAATAGGTGAATTTTGAGGAATCAGCAGCTGCTGTTTGTTATCGACTTTGAGGTGAATGAGCTTTGCGTGTTAGAGACACATCGACCGTTTGTTGGATTAAATCTAATCTGTGAGATCGGCTCATCCTGCGAGGTAAATCCTGGATTAGAGAATTACAATCGAACGTCACCTTTTGGAACTAATTTTTGGATCTGACTGCCCCCTTTTTATGAAACGCAGACTGAAAACAGTCGATGAATGAATGATTTGATTTGGCACATAACACTAATTGCTTAGCAGGGTCTGACTTCTGGGCCACGTTTGGGGCAAATAAAGATTCCCCTCCTCCTACTTCCCCCTGATGGAATAGCACACTGCGGTCCTGAGCAAGTCCCTCTGATTAAAAACCTGACCGCCTTCTTCCGGCTCCGATCCTGGAGAACAGGGGAAGTTCTCACTTATCGAGTCCCCACGACTGCAACTCAAATACGAAAAACACCCGATATTGACTGACTGATTCCATATTTGACTGACTGTTTGCAGGATTTCACAGAGTCTTCCTGCAGATCTCCACATTTCGGCACAGGAAAACATTTATTCTCCTTCTTCTTTTGTTGCCCTTCGACCCAGAACCCGGTCAGTAGGAGGAGACGAGGGAACGCCAGACAGACGCTGGACACCTCGCAAGAAATATAAGAAATTGTGGATTATTTTTGGTTTTGGGGGGAAAAGCTCTGGTTTTAAATACTAAAAGACTTAATGAAACAACCCCTACCTACTACATGAACTTTGACCCCCCCCTTAAAGGACAGCACATGCACGATTTGTGTCAAAGGTCCCACATGCCAATTTCATGTCTGTTTGCGTAGTTTATGTTTTTATGTTGTTTTTTTTTTTTTTATTATGTTTTTGTATGGTCTGATTTCTACCCAGTTTGAGTGTTTGGTGTGTGTGTGACGGCGATGATGTGTGTGATCTGTGTGAACTGACCTGCGGTCGGTGCTGCAGCCGGTTCGTTCTGGGATTCAGGAGGGAAAAAGGAATTCAAACCGTGGACTGACGGACTCTCTGCGCGAGAGAATCGGACTTTTACGGACTTCACTGCAAACCTTCAGCCTAACTCGTCTCGTCTCTTTAGAGCCTCTAACTCTCAATGCAACGACCGACGTCCCTCCACCCGCTGGGACGACCCCCCCCCCACACTCTCGACCCCCTCGACGACGGCACACGAGCGAGGAAACCACTACGTCGCGATGCATTCTGGATCCGTTCAGTTTCGAGGAGGCGTCTTCCGCTTCCTGCTTTGTCATTTCTGTTTTTTTTTTTTGTTCTGTTGGTTTGTTGGAAACTAAAATTTGCATGTCTCTGTTTTGCCACTTAGTGAAAAAAAAAAGAACATTTAAAGTTTAAAAAAAATGAAATGAATCACTTTGAAACTCTAATGGAGCTCTCGTTCAGATCCGCAGCGTCTTATCTGAATCTTCTTTTGGTTTAAGGGGAACATTTCCACAGAAATACTCTAAAGAGGGGTTTCATTTTTTGCATTTTTCTTTCGTGTCATGCAAGAAATCAACTCTTAATATCATATTTTTGGTTATATGTCGAATAGTTTTCCCTAAATAGAGGAAAGAAGTATATATAAGTATATATATATATAAATTTATCAGCAGCAGAGGTTGCTGAGTTAGTGAAATACCACGGGGTACTGGACTGTATAATCTGTCAGAAGCTATAATCATATTTCTTTGTGGTTCTGATGGTGTAACTGAAACCCATCTTTCTTTTCTCTGATGGTGTGTGTGTGTGTGTGTGTGTGTGTGTGTGTGTGTGTGTGTGTGTGTGTGTGTGTGTGTGTGTGTGTGTGTGTGTGTGTGTGTGTGTGTGTGTGTGTGTGTGTGTGTGTGTGTGTGTGTGTGTGTGTGTGTGTGTGTGTGTGGAGGGGAGGGGGTATGACGACAGATCGGTAGGTTTTAATTCCTCTTTGTCTGAAAAACAAAAACATCCCTGATCGCTTTCTTCTCCGATGGCTCTTTGAGGCAGAACAACGGCGCCGAAAACGTGTTCACCTTCGCCCCGCCTCGTTGCTTTCACGCGTTTCCTGAGCGATAAATCCCTGACGATCTCTGGCGGGAGGATGTTCGTCATTTATCGGACCTTATTCTGAATAGAAATATTCCTTCTGCTGCACGATAACATAGGTCCGCAACCTGTTTTCCACGTTGGAACAAAGATGTTAGTTTGGTTTATTTCACAGGTCTGTAGTTTTTATGTCCGAGTGATTTCTGTTCAGTTTCCTGGAAAGAATCTGCAGTGGTGGAATAAATTACTCAAGTACAATTTTGAGGTACTTTTACTTTCCATTTTTTTATATTTTATACTTTTACTCCACTACATTTCAAAGGGAAATACTGTACTTTTTACTCCACTACATTTATCTTCATTTAAGTACATTTTGTTGCCAATACTTTCAGGTATTTTATTAGTAATGGAGTATTTTTTTTTTTTACATTACGGTATTGCCACTTTTACCTGAGTACATACTTCCAACACTGGTAATTTGGCACTAATTATAGGGATAACAGTTCAATTAGCACACTTAATCATTAATTTGTGTCCTTTTAATCAGGACACGACTCAACATGTCTCACAATTCATACAGAGAATAAAGTTTCACCAGTAAATGATTAATGAGTGCATATTTATTTAGTTTAATTGGAGATTTTTCCCTTTAATTAGTACCAAATAACGCAGTTCTTTTCAAGTAATGTGCTGAAATACAGCGACATATCTTTACACTGTTTGATTTTCAGTTATAGTGTCTATGAACTGAAGTTACTTTGAATAATTTCTGATATTTATACAGGAGGTACTGTTTAGGAACGGTCTCAGCTCGGAGATCTCGGGCTAAATGTCGTTTTAATGGGTGAATATTATTCGGTCCAGATGTCTGAAAATGTGCAGCGTTTTAACTGTTTTTTTTTTAAAGACCATCAGGGATTTATCTTTCAGAAGGAAACAGAAAGTGAACTCTGAGAGGCACAAAGTGTTCACGTTGTGCAACTTTAAAGCTTAAAGAAAAGTTTAAAGCTATTATTATGAACTTGCACTTTTTCACTGATTCTCAGTTTTAAATCCTGATGTGAGGTTTTCTTCGGATCGGATGGTTTCAGTAAGAATATCTGCAGTCTGGTTATCGTGATCCAGTAAAGTGTGATTGCCAAATTAAAAGCCCTTTTTGAAAGCGTTTATAATCGCTGTCATTAGCGTCCCCTCTGCCCGCTCTGCAGCGCCACTTCGTTCCATCAACCCTTAAACTCTTGTCAGATGTATCCTTCAGGGCATCGTCGTACCCAGAATGCACTGCTCTGCTTGTGTGATGTTTTTGGTGTAGGGGGAAGTGAAAGAGGGGCAGCTCTCCACTGAAACTGTCAGCAGGTTTTTATTAGTCCTCGCAGGACCAGGACCAGACTGAACCAGATTCTCCTCTAAACTCGTTCTATCAGCTCGACGAACTGAATCATTCTGGTTAACTTCAGGATGGTTCTCACCAACGATGACTCGCGTTCTGTAGAGCGTCTCGATGAGTGTCAGCGATGGGGGATGAATCCAACAGAGGTTTGTCCCATTTTAGATGCGTGTCTTCTGTGTCCTCACTTCAATTTGTCCAAACCGGAAGAGAAGGTTTCCTGTGCGACTGATTTCTATCTGGAATTTAAACTTTTCTTTTTTCAGATTCTGCCATTATTGTTTATTTTATTGAACCGTTTCATCCCAGAAAACCAAATTTATCTTCCCACCTGCGCTAAAACAATTTGTTTATAAGCAGAAAATCTATACATTTGGTTCGTTTAAGTGATTTATTCAGTAAATTTTACTGATCGGCTCACCAGGGAAGAGGTTTATCTGCTTTTTGGTGTTCTTTTACTAACTCTTAAAAGTAGTTTTTGGGCTGTTGGTAGAGAAAAAAAGGTATTTAAAGACGTCACCCTCGACTTAATTTGCTATATCCAAAAAAAAGTTTAAAAAATAATGAACTTTCACCTGAAGCTGTAGGATTCTTTCATTATTAGGACATGAGAGGACACTTTATCCTCTAAAAGGTGGTGAAGGAATGAAGCCAACGACCCGACATAGATTACATTTTTCATTTTACTTTGAAAGGTCACACTGCAGGAAATAAAACGGCCACAAATCAGATTCAGCCAACTTTTTAAAGGGCGCCATGAAGGGGACACGTGTCTGGAACGGGACGTATCAGACAAATAGAGACATAACTTTCCTTTGAGATGTGAATGAGAGGGTGAAGGGTGTGTTAAAGGGGATAAATATTCAGAATGGAACGCAGCCAAAAGCCCTTTTCAAAGGTTTTATGATGCTGGACTGAAGAGGAGGATGAAGGGCGCGGTGGAACGGAGCCTGGTCTACAAGCTCCAGTCTCTTTTGGGGTGGGAGGGTGAGGGGGGGGGGTTCAGCAGCTGCTAGATAATAAAAGATTAATCTGTTCGTCTGTAGTTTTCCATCAATCAATCAGCTCCTTTATTTGTTCTCATTCTGTTGATAAGATCTGTTCTCATCCAGTCACTCCGGTGTACAAACCAACTGACTTCTAACGTCATCCGCTGTGTATTATAGTAAATAAAAATGATTTTCAGAAATGAAAAACTCTAAAACCAGTTTTTTTTTTCTTTCTGTTTTCTCTCCATCATGTTTCCAAAATAAAGTTTCTTTTTTTTCCAAAGCTGCTGAGAGTCTCGAGTCCTCCTTTTAACTCATGCACTGTAATATGCTACAGAGCGGTCAGAGGTCAGTAGCAGAACCAGCAGCAGTCAGTGGTTAGATAGAGAGCACTGATCTTTACTGAAGGACTGTGCACTGTGCTACAGCTGCTGAGCTTCTGCTTACTTTTCAGATTAAGATACATAAAAAACGTATAAAATCAAAACCTAGTTGAAGGTTAAGCGAGTGGTTTCCAGATGTTCCTGAGTCATTAGCAGTGTTTTAGATTGATTTCCTCTCTCATGTTTCTCACATGGTTTCATTTAAATAACCCACAGAGATAAAACTGTCCAATATTTCACACAAAAAGCAAAGATAAGGTCTCAGATTGTGGATCAGAACTTTGTTTTCCTTTCTCTCTGACTAATCATCTGACGCCCCCTCTGATTTATCAATCTTCTGATTTATCGTCTCCACCTGGAGCAGCTGCAGCAGTAGCATCGATGCATCAGTATTAACACTGATAACGTCAGATAATAATGTTTCAGTACTGCAGGTATGACTTTAAATTCATTTAGACTTTGACTTGTAATAGGATACTTTTGCATTAATGTAATGGAACTTTTAAAGGATCTAAATACTTAAACTATCTGTATGAGTTCAAACTGTTCACAGCAGAAGACTGACCCGTCGTGGTGTGATATTATTAATGCGTTCATGTGTAAGCAGCACTTTAAGGTTTTAGCTCGTTGAACTGAAACTAAACTGATTTATAATCTATAAAGAGGCGTCATATTGTGTCATAAGCAGATTCTTGATCTGGAAAGTAATTTGTAACGTTATCTGTCAAATAAATACATTGGAATAAAAAGTACATGAATTAAGTGAAGTAGAGGTATAAAATTAAAGTACTCAAAGTGTAAGTACCTACAAATTACACTTAAGTTACAGTACTTTGATACATTTATAATAGTTTTCACCTCTGCTAACAGCATCTTTATTTCCAGTTGTATTGATAGTAATGGTATTCAGATCCTTTACATAAGTACAAGTTGTGCTCCTGCATTCAAAATGTAATTTAAGTACAAAATATTAGCTACAAAAAAAGATATTTAATCTATAAAGAACAACATATTTTATCATCTGACCATATATTTTGTATGTAAAGCAAAACTTTCCCTCTGAAGTGAAGTTAAAACACTCAAGCAAAGAACAAGTAACTAGTAACTAGTACTAGTACTAGTACTTAAGTCCAGTACTTGAGTATGTGTAGTTAGTTACTTCCCACCTCTGGAGCAGCAGTTATAGGTTTATTAATAATAATAAGTTACAGTTCAGTGTAATATCTGTCTGTTTAGCATCTTTCTAATATGTATTATAGATTTATTATAGTATTAATTATAGTATTAATAGTTAGATGAATAGACCTGTGCTGTTGAGAACAGCTCAGCCCTGCACACATTCAGATGTTGAGAAGGTAAAGAGCATCACCTTGTGGTAGAATGACAAACTGCACAGAAACCACAGCAGGAGCAAAGTGAAGGTTCTGGAGTATTAACATCACATTATAATTCAAGTAAAGACCATATATTATATATTATACTGAATGGTCCCTTTCAGAATAAGATAGAAGGATGTACTTCCTGTGCTGGCTCAGGAAGCTCAACCTGCCCCAGGAGTTGCTGATCCAGTTCTGCACTCACATTAATCTGCTCATCCATCACGGTCTGGGTCAGATCTGCCAAATAGGACTGCAACCTGCCCCCCCATTCATGTCCAGAGTCAGGACACAGCCAGGAAACCCCACCACAGACCCATCAGACCCATCAGACCCTGGACTACAACCTGTTCCAACTGCTCCCCTCTGGGGGGCGCTACAGAGCACCGAACACCCAAACCAACAGACACAGGAACAGTTTCTACCCACAGGCCCTCAGTATGAGGAGCAATAACCTAGTGTGCCTTTAATTATTCATTCTCATTGTTTAAAGATATATTCTATTGTATTTACTGTATGTATATCTACCTCATGTATATAAAGTAAACTGCTGCATAAATATTTTATTGCACTCTGAACCTTTGAACCTGTCTTACTGCCTACAGATATGTATGTATTTATATCTGCACACAGCACTACACTGCAAAAATAAAATGACTATTCATTTTTGTTGGAAAAGAAAATAATCTTGTGAAGAATGTTTTGTATTAGAAAAATAAAATAATTTTAATAAAATCTATCTAACTGTGTCTTAATAATATATTCCAGTTAATATTGAGCTTGGTTTAACCAGTAAAAACAATGGTTGCATAATATCCCAGCAGAGGAACACGATTATTGTCCTTCAACTTCTCAGTTTAAGAGAAAGTCGTCTGTCCCAGTGTTGGAAATGAAGCAGCTGTTTAGTTTTTCATTGTTTTAAATAAAAATTATAAAAATAAGAATGTTTCTGTTGCTTTCATTTAACATAAAGTCACAGATTTTTATTATGCTAAAGATTTTTGCTGATTATTAATCTTAAAATTAAGGTACAAATTCTTAAAATCAGCTCAATAAAGTGACCAAAATACTTATTTAAAGAAAGTCTATCTAAAATAACAGTTAATTGTTTTAATGAGTACAACTTGCTTAAATTTGTCATCTTTTCTAGTTTTAAGGCCCATTACAGTCTTTCAGTGGTTAAATCTTTATGATAGTTTAGATTGTTTTGCTCAATACAAGAACACTGTATTATATTTAAGAAGATATTCTTTGCTGTTTTTGCATACCTGGCCAATAAAAGTAATTCTGATAATCTATATCTTTTATATTTATTGGATATCAATTATTGATGCTTTAATGTGTTCATCACTTTAATGCAGCAAATGGAAATACTGAAGTACAAGTAACTCAAATTGTTGTCATTTCCGACTTTTTCCTTATTAATAATTATTGATAATGGGAAACTTATATTATATTTATGCTCACTACATTTCAGCCTTTGTTGCCATCAGGTGTATAAAAACTACAGGTTATAAACTTCTTTTTAAAATACTAAATTTTTGGAAATTATTGGTTATTTTATCGGTATATCAGCCATGAGTAGAAGGCAATTAATTAGTGTTTCCCAACACGGGGATCGGGACCCCACTAGGGGTCGCCAAAGATTCATAATAGAAGAGGAGTCGGTGAGATGAAAACACTGAATTTGTCAAACAAAGAAACTTTAAGTTTGTATGATTGTTAAAAAAAATATTACAAATACATAAAATACAGAAAGACTCATCATCATAAAAACTCAGCCGTGATTCAACATTGGCAGGAAATCTTTTTACACAAACTTCCTGCAGTTTTTATTGACTTTCAATATCACCTCTTATAGAAAACTGCTGATCTAAATGAATCAATAATACACCGTCAGTGTGTCTGCTCATAAAACCATAGCCCAACTCAAATCAACATGAGAACAGTTTCTAGCTGGTTGTCAACATACTGATGAGTGGATCCTTCAGGAATATAACAAAAAAGATAAATCATAAAAACACCATAAACCTTTATATGTGATGATGCATTCGGGGATTCTGTGAACGTGAAACAATATTATGTTGTTTTATGTAATAATATAATATATGAAAACAGTATACTGTTCATGTTTCTGTATTCACTCTAACGTTGTCTCACATGTTTAGAGAACTGTTATTCACAGAGTCGAGCTGTCTGTGGGTGATGGACTGATGTACGGTAGATGAGACCAGAGAGGTTCGGACTCAGGCACAGACCTGAACCATGAAGTGAAACGTGGTGACCTCCCAGTTGAATCAGGATGAAAAGGAAAGATGTGCGTCAACCTGAGTCAGAGAGATGTTTCAGATGTGTTACCAGACACCAGCAGACACCAGCAGACCTGCTTGGGGACAAAAGGCATATCTTCGTCTTCTGGGAGTCTTCTGAGGGAGTTTGTGGTTCCTCACTGTAATCAGACATCAAACAAGGTGCAATGAGCCAAAGACAGTTAAACCACAACACCCCTAACAGGTAGAACCCTTCACACTGAGGCCTCTCTCATTCCCAGTTTGTACAGCCTCCATTCCTCTCCTCGCTCCTCCGTCCTCTGTCCTCACTCCAATCTCCTCCAGATGTAATTTAGGAATCGAGACGTCCTTCAAGATGGCGCGCTGAGATTGATTTCTGGGTCACGGGCAGGAGGACAGAGGAGAGAGAGGAGGCGAGGACACAAATTAGAGAAATGAGAAAGTCTCAGAAAGAAACGACCTTCATGGCGGCTGCACACGGTTTCAGTGGAACAGAGGATCATTAGTGTGATTAGCCACACCGTGTGTGTGTGTGTGTGTGTGTGTGTGTGTGTGCTCTCAGTGTCTGTGGAGGTGAAGCTCGTCAGTCTGCTGCTGAAGACACAAATATGGACAGTGAAGATTTAATGTGAGTGTTCCTCACAGCTTTATGAATACGTTGAATTGTCTGTCCTTTGTCAGCAGATGGCGCTGTGGTTCAGGTTTATTTCACTATATGAAGGTAGATTCTTTTCTTTGATTGCTGCTTATTTAGTCTTGAACATTTACTTTAGATTGAATTTGCTCAAAAGGAAACTAAAGAAGATAAATTAAAGTCATTTATTGAGGACAAACAACAATCAGTCAGTACAGTTACTGTACAGTCTGTTATTGTCACACAGAATAAAAAGAAATTGAAATAAAACTGTAAAATAAAAATGTGCTTTAGTAATTTAGTTAGAGTTAATTGGAAATGTACGAATTATAAATCAAAGCTGTCTTCACTCTCCTTGATTATCACCAAATAAGTCCTTTAAATTATTTAGTAGAACTGAGTTATAAATGTTCTTTTAGAGCGTCTTAGAGAGAATGATGATATGGGAGTATTTGGTGGAGTTAAGATCAAACAGAATATTAGTTATTTATTTCTTTGCTTACTTAATAACTGAGCTGACTTGTGTGTTGAAGCAGTGGATATGTTGGTAGAGTTCTTTATGTTTTATGCTAATTTTGCCTAAATTAAACATTTATACT